CCCCTGACACTGACCTGCTGTGCTGATGCCAGACTCTGGAGCTGGGCGCTGGTCAGGTGCTGCTGCTGTAGAGCTGCTGATTGCAGCATGAGGTGCTGCTGCTGGGCGGCGTACATCTGCTGCAAGTACTGCGCTGCTGTGTTGGGCTGGCGGCTCAGAGCTTGCTGAATCACCTGCAGTAACCAAGGAAACCATGAGGCCACGCCTCCAACATTCATCCATCCACAGACCTCCGCCATTCATACATCCAGAGACCTCCGCCATTCATCCATCCAGAGACCTCCGCCATTCATCCATCCAGAGACCTCCGCCATTCATCCATCCAGAGACCTCCGCCATTCATCCATCCAGAGACCTCCGCCATTCATCCATCCAGAGACCTCCGCCATTCATCCATCCAGAGACCTCCGCCATTCATCCATCCAGAGACCTCCGCCATTCATCCATCCAGAGACCTCCGCCATTCATCCATCCAGAGACCTCCGCCATTCATCCATCCAGAGACCTCCGCCATTCATCCATCCAGAGACCTCCGCCATTCATCCATCCAGAGACCTCCGCCATTCATCCATCCAGAGACCTCCGCCATTCATCCATCCAGAGACCTCCGCCATTCATCCATCCAGAGACCTCCGCCATTCATCCATCCAGAGACCTCCGCCATTCATCCATCCAGAGACCTCCGCCATTCATCCATCCAGAGACCTCCGCCATTCATCCATCCAGAGACCTCCGCCATTCATCCATCCAGAGACCTCCGCCATTCATCCATCCAGAGACCTCCGCCATTCATCCATCCAGAGACCTCCGCCATTCATCCATCCAGAGACCTCCGCCATTCATCCATCCAGAGACCTCCGCCATTCATCCATCCAGAGACCTCCGCCATTCATCCATCCAGAGACCTCCGCCATTCATCCATCCAGAGACCTCCGCCATTCATCCATCCAGAGACCTCCGCCATTCATCCATCCAGAGACCTCCGCCATTCATCCATCCAGAGACCTCCGCCATTCATCCATCCAGAGACCTCCGCCATTCATCCATCCAGAGACCTCCGCCATTCATCCATCCAGAGACCTCCGCCATTCATCCATCCAGAGACCTCCGCCATTCATCCATCCAGAGACCTCCGCCATTCATCCATCCAGAGACCTCCGCCATTCATCCATCCAGAGACCTCCGCCATTCATCCATCCAGAGACCTCCGCCATTCATCCATCCAGAGACCTCCGCCATTCATCCATCCAGAGACCTCCGCCATTCATCCATCCAGAGACCTCCGCCATTCATCCATCCAGAGACCTCCGCCATTCATAATCTGGGGTATGCTAAACACATAATATATATTTTTATTATAAGGGCAGCACTGGGGTCCTGGGTTCACATTCCAGCCAGGACATTATGTGTGTGGAGTTTGTATGTTCTCTCCCGGGGTTCTCGCATGCTGCCAGGAGTACATGCGTGTATGTGAGGACGGGGCCTTAGATTGTAGGCTTCTTGGGGGCAGGGACTGATAAGGACATGGAAATGGTGTGCACGTGGCTCTGTTGCCCATAGTTACCATTGTATAACTAGACAGAAATTTGCTCCGTGGCTGCTAATGGCATCTGGCTTGTTGTTGTCATAGTTCCCGCCAACCTATGCTGCTGCCCATAGCAACCACATCAGAGGTCTTCTATGATACATTACATTCATATCTATGTGGGAGGAGCCGATACAATGTAACTGGCTGCTATGTGTACAAAATCTGACAAATAAACCTGAACGCACAGCCTGCTGACCAGACTTACCCAACACAGGGGCAAGTACCTTTAAGGTACCCCAGCCTGAGGAGGGCAGACCTAAGGAAGACAACTCCTGATTGGTTGCTCAGTGTTACTTCAAAGGAAGCCGGAATGTGTTTAAATAGCGAATAATCAGCCCTGAGGTCAGCAGTGAGGAGGGGTGAAGAGGGGACTGTGCAATAGAAGAATGGGAACACTGCTCTCCAATGTCACCATCTCCGGTCCTCATCCATCACTGGCCTCCCCTCCCCCTCCCTGACAGGTCTTCCATCATTCCTGACTGACCAGCCACAGTTTGAGAGCAGAGGGGCCCAGGGCAGAGATGTGTCCATCCAGGAACTCCCAACATCCGAGACCTGTCCATCCAGGAACTCCCAACATCCGAGATCTGTCCATCCAGGAAGTCTCAGCATCCACATCCCCTCTACCCCCTGCACACCCCTTC